CTGGGTGACTCGATCCCGTTCTGGGCTGAACAGCGGGCAAAAAACACAGGAAAGCCTAACTTGAGATTGAAAGATTTAACAATAGCAGGGTTGCCAGCGGACTTGAAAAGTCAGGGAAATTGGGTATTTTTTCAAGGTCAGGGAATTGTCAGGGAATTTTGAAATTTGGTCAGTGAAAAATGAAAATCCTGAAAAGTCAGTGACAAGTCAGGGAAAAATTATTTCAAAGGTCGAAAAATATACACATTGAAGGTCTTTCTTGGCTATGGCAGTCTTTAGGCATTTATTGTTTGACTTTATCACTCTCACAGTTAAGCATTAAATTCAAATAACAGTAAACTGTGATATTAAGAAGCATTATATGTTAACTTAGTGATTATAATACCCATTATTTACCTTAGAATAGATAAATACAGAATCCCTAAAGAAAGCCCAACACGGCAAAATTGAAAATGTTGCAGGCTCGGTTTGATTGAGCCTGTTCATGGACGGTACTGGAAAGTGCAAGTTACTGTCCACGCCCCCTAGCACCGGCTTAAGCAGAATTCAACATTTAGAACATCATTCAGCCTAAAGACTGAAAGGCTTTGCAACCCTTGCCTCCAGAGCTGACTAATACGTAATACCAAGAACTTTTCACAGTGGTGAAAGACATGCTTATTCTGTTCCATGGCCAGTCATCTGTTGAGAAGGGGTTCTCTGACAATAAGGAGCTATTGAAAGGGAACATGAATGAGCATACCCTTATTACGTACAGACAGGCTTATGATGGCCTCAAATCCCAGGACAAGCCACTCTCCGAGTGTGTCAGCAAGGAGTTACTACAGAGCTGTAGGCATGCTTACCATAGGTACAGGACTCATGCACAGGAAACAAAGGTAGAGGATGAAAAGAAGCAGAAAGACAAAGAAAGGGAAGAAACTCAAAGGCAACTGGATGATGCAAAGAAGAAAACGGCAAGTCTGAGGAAGATGGCAGATAAATTGGTTGTTGAAGCTGATGAAGTGGCCAAACAAGCTGAAACCAAAATCAATCTGCAGTTACTGGTCAAATCTAATGCCCTGCGGGAAAAGTCCCATGGAAAGAGAATGGAAATGGAGTGTGAAATTAAGACAGCTGAACATCTAGAGAAGAAACTGAAACAAATTTAATGTTACAGTCATGTCTCTCATTGTATTCTGTATTGGTCCAGCTATTTCTGTGCATGATCACTAGAAGTGCTTTTACTTACTAGCAATATCTAGTCAGGACACTGTATTCTGTAATGGTCTAGCTATTTCTGTGCATGACCACTAGAAGGGCTTTTAATTACTAACAAAATTTAGTCAGTATACATGTATACCAAACTACCTAATTGGCATAATATGCTTTGCTTTTTGCTTTGACACTAAGAAATTGTACAAGAGGATTTGTCTTGCAAACATGATGGAAACTGGTTAAATTATGCAATGCTATGTTTTTCACACTACCTTTTTTTCACACTAACTTACTTCACTCATTCAAAGTCTTTAATTTTATAGTGATTATTTCATGATATGCCAAAATTAGCCCTATGTTCTTGTTTTTCATGGAATGGCACTACCGTGTCACATTGAAGGTTCCATGATAACCGCCATATGAACACATCTGCGGATGTTTCAAAATTCTAAATTTTACCAGTTCATGTTAAATGTTGAATTCTGCTTAAGCCGGTGCTAGGGGGCGTGGACGGTAACTTGCACTTTCCAGTACCGTCCATGAACAGGCTCATTCAAACCGAGCCTGCAACATTTTCAATTTTGCCGTGTTGGGCTTTCTTTAGGGATTCTGTATTTATCTATTTCACAATCAGTGGAGTTTATCATGATGCCTTATTCAAATAACTGTGTTAAATGTTTATTGTTCTTATAGTTTAGAGATGTTTGAATTTTAAGTTTTATCATACAAGCATTACTCTTATAGTCTTGGTGTTTTATGTGTTACTACTAGGAAGGAAAGAGTGACTTATGTGATTTCTAATACAGATGCTTATATTATGATTCTTCTGATTTTCATGTCATATGTTTCACATGTTTCACTGACCAACAGTCACACTGTGTTTGAATAGAAATAGTTAAGAATAGTAGAACACAATGTTTGAATCATTACTTTGATGTAAATGTTTTATATTTTGGAAAATAAATACAAGTTTACATGCAAAAATATAATGGGAGGATTGGACGTCTATAGGGGAGGTCAGGAGGCCGTTTATGTGTTTGACGATTTTGGTCAGTGAAAAACATGAATTGGTCAGTGAAAAGTCAGGGAAAAGTCAGGGAATTTTATTTCACCAAAGTGCTGAAAAGTGCAACCCTGAATAGCCTGGTGGGGTATTCGAGGCATACGTTGGCAGTCCTTTTGTCACTCGATTGAATCACAGGTGTTATTTTCTTCACCTCCGTCCATTATTATTGTTCGTTTAGGAGATAATGATTTGGCAGATTTACCGATTTTAAATTTGAAAGATGTTATTCGGGATGAAATTTTTTACTTGCCTACAACGGTACTAATTTGGGTATATATATTACAGATGCAGACCTGGCATAATGCCACGGGGGTTGGGTTGCTATGGAAAATAAACGCAAACGAGTTAACAGGATAGGCCGTCAATTAGTTCATTCATCGGGTAAAAGTAACACAATTAGGCCAGACATTGATGCTAAAACTCCATTTTTTCGGGCAGACGGGGTTCATCTCAATGATATTGGTTTGGAATTCTTCCTAGATTACTTCAAAGATTCTATCATTAAAATGTACCAGTCTCTCAATAAGAATTTGGGGGATACATTTTTTGATAAATTTATTGTGGCGTAAAATTCTTCCGATCGAGAGGAGATAAGACATTGTATTCTGTTTTGTTGTCATTTTAACTTAAAACCTTGTGTATGGTTCTACTGCTCGTGACGGAATACCCGTCAGGGTAGGCCGACCTATAATCAGGAAATTAATTTTGGAAGTATCATACAGTTTGTCCATGTGTTTGGACTGCAGTTTGCGTTATTTGGTTTTGCCCGTAGTACTTGGCAATTCCTGTTTTTGCGTTGCAGTGTATGGCGTTGCCGTACAATGGCGTCAGTTTTGGGTTCTATTTATACGCTTGGGTTCCCAGCGATGGATGGAATCTTCAATTTGATGTCATTTGCGGTAATCTTTTGGACTGTTGAACACTGTGTTTTGCGATTGCGTTGCGTTGCGTTTGTATGATACTGTTTGCGGGTTTTTGTATGTATTGGGACTTTAGCAAAAAGTAAATGTGTAATATAAAGCACGTCTGATCTCCTCTCGGTCGAATTATTTAGACACGGGATACCCTGTCAAATTTGAGCGGCCAAAACAATCCAACCTTGAATTGTATTTAGTGCGATATTGCTTTATTGTTTGCAATAACATTGTTGAAGCGGTCATGTGTGAGTCATATACATATAACAAAATTAAATATGAAAATGTTACTCATAGTCGTTTTATTTTATTTCAATTATTAAAATAATAGAGACATTCTCGAGAGTAGTCCATAAGATTATTGAAATAACACAATTGTACTAACCAATTATGAATGTTAATACAAAAATATTTCAACAACATTTTAGCGTTTAAAATGCAGTACTTATGAAGTAATGCTGGATCAATCCAAAGGCACAACAAACCCGTATGCTATGTTTTTCAAGGTTTTTAAGAGTTGTGTGAATTTGAAGCTTCATTTCGTTGTACAACATACTTATATTCTGGAATCATTCGAAATAAGTTATACATTTCCATCGGAACTTTACAAAATGTCTGTATTGTTTCAGAATGTAAGTTAATATTTCATTTGAATGTTACTTACTTAAATTGCCGTGAGGTTGACCTTTTTGTCTATTTAAATAAGCCGTTTTAGGGTAATTAAACAAAAGATAGTAACCTGATAAAGATTTGCAAAAGCATAGGAAAAAACAAAGAACGAAAGTAAATTAAACTGCAACAAATCATTGCCTGTTCGCTTTTCAAAGAGAAACGCCGATATTTGAAAAAGTATGCAAAATTGTATCATTAAGGTATTGAAATTCAACATGTTTATTGTTTATCATCACTGTTAAGAGCATTTAAAAACCATCTTTGTTAGTTCTCGAATCTACATGTTTATGAAATTAATTTACAAATCAAAATAAATTCTCATTTTCTTATGTAAAATTGATCTATCTTAACTAATAACATTAGCGTAGCTTTTAAGTCCCCTCGATTCCTGTTCTTCTTCATTTACATATTTTAATTAAAGTATTCAAAATACAGCGCATTAAAGCGTACTGTAATGGCAAACTTTTGATCTGATCCCATAAGTCTCATCTAAAAGACATTAAATCTACAAATCAAGAAACATTACAGGCAGTTTATTAATATTTTCTCACTTTTCATTTTCCCTGCTACAGCATGTTGTTTTCTTGATTTATGAATGAAAATTATTTGACCGCGCAATAACTTGCCAGTGCACATTTAAAATAACGATTGTTTTATTACAATGTGCACTTTAACAGTACACACATTCTCGAGGAAAAGGACAGTTTTGGCGTTATTAATGTGTTTGAAAAAGGAGAAAAAATGTGATTGCGCAAAATAAAGACCTGATGCTCATGATCTATTAACACTTCCTTCCAATAGTATTTCAAAATTATAATGTTTTTAGCATTATTATTTCATAGTCAAGTAGCAAAACTGAAGATAACAAAATAAAATTAATTTGAATATCCAATTAACTTTAAAAATTACATTGCATTCAAACTTACTTTTATATTACATCAAACAACAAGCAATGTACTGAATAAAATACCTGCCACACGAAACTTTTCTTTTGTTATATCCTTATTAAACATATATGATTATAATTGCAAAATAAATAATTAAACGGTTGTTATACAGTGTAATGTAAAACATTATTAATTTCATTTCTTTTTATGTTTACTGATAGGAATAGCATAACATATACCATTTTTAGAAAACTAAGAACTTACCTAAACAAAACATAAAAATCCAATAACAGTCATTTGATCAAAAAGTAATACCACTTATTTCTTACCATTTACCACAGAACAAAGTTCCCACTATTTGAAATAAAGAAAAAAAGTTTACAATCCATAAGATGTTTTAAATTCCGGTAACCCACAAAGTAGTGTTATATGCGTGTACAGAAGTTGGTTGCTATGACCATTGTGACGAGAACATATTCGATATTTAGTGAGAGTGCGCACACATTTGTCGTAACGGTTCTTAATCCGATGTTTTAATACGCTGCCTTTTTAACAGCTTTTCCATACAGTCTTCATAATGTTCTTAAGGATATTAGTTTACATGAAGAACATCTCAATTATATAAACTTGATCTCTTAAGTACTGTAGAGCTAGCATTATGAATGTGTACAGTGACTTATCAAATATAGTGATGCATTGTAGAAAAAGGAGAAGCTGTTTTTCGTTTCGTTGTCTTTTTGTTAATTTTGTTTTAATAATGTAAAACACAATATATATATACATATTTTAAAAATCAATATTTTAATAAATATATCGTTAGATAATATGTTTTATGACTCACGAGAAGTGAGTATTTTAATCACAACGAGTTTGTGTTTAACTATCCAAATTGTTAAATATTTAAAACGCTACAGAATGATTGGTTTGTGATTATGCTAAAACAGGTGTATAAGAATTGAAATGAAGTCTGATACATATATTTTATATCAATGAATTTTATTATTTTGTCAAAAAGGTCAAAAAAGGCTTAAAACATTTCTCAGGCAATCAAATAAGTTAAACAGTATTGTTATTTTGTAATCTGGAAACACTTGTTGATTATTGTTTTTACAAATCAAAAGTAATTAATTACCTTGATATACTATCTACATTACTGTTAAATAAACTATATTTAACAATTTTGCCTTTCAAATATATTTTACATATTTGGTTGATATATTCAGTGCAGCAAAGTATGTTAGTGCGTTTCGTTTATCAAAGATCCTAATTGACTATTCAAATGATTATGGTTCAACAAATGTTCTATTCATTTACAAAAATCGCTATCGACTCTTATAATATTAAGTGAATGAAAAATGTCGCGTGTTATTTATTCAATACACATTTTCTAGTCTCGCACTTTTGCCTATATGACTGAAATACTGTTGGGAAAAGGCGTAAAATAAAACAAACAAACAAACAAAACAAATTTTGCTTCATATTTTCCTACTCAGCCTTTTTTGCTTTAAGCTCATTTTGCTTCACATTTGTTATATCAAGCATAAAATATCTGAACGTAGACATATGACGCAATATGTATAATAAGCTTTGAATCAGAATGCTTTTAAAAATAAATCTTTGGAACTGATTTACATATCCATGGTAAAAAAACAATCGAAGCATTTCGAAACAGATGTTTTTATTAGATTGATCACAGTATTGTAATTTAAATGTGGTTCCCACAAGCATTACAAGCAGTTGCACTTCCATACAATTCTCTTTTTCCTCTGAAATAGCGAAAATTTACCATTTATAGCTCAACAGAATTATTGTCTTCTACTTTTTTCCCCCATCCTATGTAATAACAAGATAAAAGTTAATGTCAGTTGAAAATCATTTTGTCAAGATATACGAAATGCAAACAGTCTTTGAGCTGTAGATTACGTATTCTTACTTTGTTTATAAATAATGCGTGAGGAAACGTTTACAAGCAACAGTTAATTCCACAAAATTTCACCTTTCTGTTAAAATAAAATACAGTTGCATAATATTGACGAAAGTTACAAATAAATAACTTTTAACCTTTAACGTTTGACAATTTCTTTTAAGCATAAAATCATCTTCTGATGCAAAACACATAATTATGAGCTGTGACAGAAGAATCATCTCTCTACAATAAAATTGTGCTAAATGCAACAAATGTTTTCTATGGCTTAAACAAGTTGTATTAAATATTAATCTATTTGCATTTAAAGGAATTTAGCTTAATGTGATGCATAAGGCTCAGCTGACCTTCTTATTTCCATCTAACATTAAGTAAAGAAGATAAAATTATAAAGTATAATTCTTTCAGTACGCACCTTACAATGTATCTATGATGCACAAAATAGTATATCTTAATCAATTTCTTAAATAATAAATAAATATTTTTTAAAAGTTTGGCCATTCTTGCAAGAAATTCATATCATAAATTCTATTAATTAAATCAAGACAATACCAAAAGTGAAAAAAGTAAATCCTAGAAACACAAAACAAAAGATCCGAACAATTTTAGATAATAAATCAAAATGTACAGTCATGCGGCATTAAAAATCAAAGATGCGACATTTATTACAAATCTTATTATTTAGAATAACACACCCACGCACGCACGCACATACACAACAATGAAAATATAAAACAATAATCTTACCAACAAATCAAATGTCCAAATAGAATCATCTGAGGTAAAATTGTATACATCATATATACAGTCCTTTTGAAACTAAGACCACATATATATTATATAAATGATATACTAGTATATGTATAGCTAATAAAACAGGACATTCAAACGTTGGCGAATTGTTTGTGTTTTGTTACAGCGCCAAGCATTGCAGTAAAATATATTTCTATATTTGCCCACCAAACGTGATAGAAGTTTGGCATAACTCAAGTATAATGACAATTGCTAGAGCTATTCTACACTGCAACATCAATCATCGACAAATTGCTTTCTTCATTCATTCGTCAAATAATAATATGTACATAATATGTCTTTTTAATATACGCAGTGTTGCATTTTCTGAAAAACCTGTTGTTACAGTATGCGATTTCAGAAAGAGAAAGATTTAAAGAAAAAGAAAAACAAGTTTCTTTGTCCTGATATAAAAGAATTGCTATAAAGACAAACCACTGAGGTATTTGCAATGTAACTTACATTTAGGCAAATGACGAAATATGTTTAACCTTATATGGAAATATGTTTTAAAAAACTTTCGATGTTTTCTGTACTGCATTTAAGTTATTTCATACATATGCAACCAAGGACTAAAAATCTTTGAAGACACTAATATATTTTATACTATAAACTTGCACAGAGATGTCTTTGCTGTCTGACACAAGCACTGAAAAAGCATTATGCAGCCAGGATACAACAACTTTGATGATACGTTGCTGTGCGTTGTAATGATAAGTCTTATCTTGGGACTTCATGTATATATAACATTAAGTACTTATTCGCTCATATCTGGGGTAGCATACTTGTTACTTTTTTTTTAAATACTTGTTACAAAAATAAAAGTTTATATTGTACAACATTGGTTAAAATAAGCAGCATCAATCGGCTCAGAATATTCGCACACTTCAAAGTCCTGTACATGCTATTTAGGAAATTCAGTATAAATAGAAACTGTCTCAGGGTGACTATAGTCGCAAAATCGAAATATCAAAACATATCAAATGCATTTACCGATTATAAAAGGTGTTTCACATAAATATCTTTGTAAAATTCAATAATGTTTCTCAGTGACAAAATCAACAAAGCAATAAATTTCTCTCCGACTAAAAAAGCTGTTACGAAGATTATCACTGATTGCATAAATATTCAAACATATTTGTAAATGACGTATGCAACAAATTATAGATTATAGAATCATATATCGTACATAATTAAAATTCCTGCATTTGGCTATGATATAAATGATAGATATAAATGTTATGACAATGCCAACCGACTTGGCAAAAAATGAAAATACTTCTACTATTAAAGATCCCGTAACACAATTTTTTATGGTTTTAAATCATAAGTATGATGCTCAAATTAAGATTTATCAATATTGTAGGTTCCTAAAAGCATCATTTATAAAGAAATTACCGAATTTAACATTTCATGTAAATAAAAGGAGGTAATAAAAAATTATTTTCTATAAAGTTTAAGTCAAATTTTACAATAAGAAATGAATGCATATATTTAATGATAACATATATAATGCACAAATATTTGCAGTACATATTTTACATATTCTTCGATGTTTGAACATTTTTTTATTTGCATAATTATGTACATATATATAATTTCACATAGTGTGGTATACCACTTTGATCACAACATACAGGATCTTTAAAATAAAAGGACTATAGACCTTTATTCAATATTTTATCAACTATAACGTTTGCCTCCTCCTTTTGTATTAATTAACAATGCACATACGTAAATCTCTTTAATTTATTTATAATTATTGACATAAACTTTGCTTCTTCGGCATAGCTTTCAACACGCATATTTCAATTTAAATTGGCAAGCTGTTTTACAATTCGAGAACATTATAACAAGTTTTCGTTTGCAAAATGGTAAAAAAATAAAGCGCTGCTTATTTCGAAACATTTCTTCAGTTATTTTTCTTGTAATAACACACATCTTTCATGGTTTATGGGAAAGAAAAACTAATAATGTTCATGCAATAAATCGTCAGTGCACATTAGAAGGAACGACCGTTTTATTAGACAACTGCGCTTTTAAGGCATATGCCAACAAAAATTATTAGTTACGAAACAGTCCTTGCAAAGTCGAGGGCAAATATGTTATCTGCCTAATTGTAATGAGTCAGACAAAAAGGTGTGATGAAATAAGCTAAACACATTGATAAGAAACATGCTATTTTTTTAGTTGTAAATCATTCCAATGCAAGAACAATCTTATATTCATGTGTGCTTTCTATCAAAGAAGAAACAGTCATGGACGAAAAATCGCACAATTACAATAACAAATATAAATATAAGGCTTTTTCTTGTATGATGATAATACATATATACTTTCATTTATTAATTATGCTTCAAAGACCATTATGTTGCTGAACTAGAATTGCTTATAAAATATACATTTGTAAACTACCTTACATTTTAAAGCAATTTAGTACACCACTTCCACAGAACACATCAGTCTGCGGAAAGACAAGCCAATGATTATTATGATCTAGCCCTGTTAGATTTCAAACAATATTAAAGAACATATTTCTGAACGTTTGACCTCAGCTTAATCTATTAAATACGAGGTATGTTCAAAAAGTTCGTGGATTTTTGCTGTCATTTTTTACTTGGTTCATAAAAACACCTTTAGTGGATATGAATCGAAAGAGTGTCTTTATTTCTAAAAGTAAGATTTACTTTTATTG